GTCAAATTGTGGCAATTGCAACTGATGTAAAGTTCCGACCAAAAAAAAAAAAAACTAATGTAAAGTAAAGAGAAGCGGTTGTAATAATGTAATAATTGCAGGAAAAAAGAGAATAACTATTCAATAAGTCATTTCTATTATATGAATGTCGATTCAGTTTTAAACTTTTTTGATTTTGTTAATGTAGTCGAAAATGCTTGCGTGAAATTTCAATATAGTCTTTCTGACTAATTGCCGTCGGAAATTGCTGACGTGACGTCAAGTCATCGCCGGTCATCCTACGTGGCATGTTGACGTGGCAACTTGTGGATTGCCACCGCAATTGGACGGAAAAACTATATTGGAATTTCATGTAAAAGTTTAGGACTACGTTGGCCAAATCCAAAAATTTAGAACTCAATTGACAATTGTAGAATAAATTTAAGACTGATCGGGTAATTTCATAAAAAAAAATTTTATTTTCATGGTAATGAACGTGTGAGCTTTTGAGCACCGAATTACTCTTCGTCATAAACGAAGGGCAGTGTCACGGGCTAAGAGACTACTCACCGCGGAAAAACCAGTGCAGTGGCCGACAAACCGAAGCACGTGGCCAATTTTTTTTAAAGATTAGTAAATAAAAATTACCTCATCATTACCTACCGTACCACATCAAGTTTTGCTCGGGGCATCCACTCTCTCGACCGAGAAATTCAAAGCAGCTTAATATTACAGTTGAGTTTGTTGGCTCCTAACCAATTTCTGCACGTGCGCTCAATCCCGCCTTTGGAAATCTCTCAATAAGATTATCATTGCATCCCGAAATTTTAATGCAAATACCATATTCCGCATTCACGACCTATTGTATCGTCCCTTTTAATCCCTCACATTTCACCCCAACGCAACGAAGCCCCGCATTTGAGGTCCCATGAATGTGGACGAATTCATACCGTGACACGAAAGGTATATTGAGCTATTCTTCTTAGATAAATGTTGCAATTTTTACTAAATTTAAGCACGTGTAGGTAGACAAAAGCTTGCTCATCATGTTAATAATGAAAAGGACACATCTATCCTACTAAATCCCCCAATCGTAACACAAAAGCCTTCGAGTTTTCTTCCAACACAATAATAATTAAAGCCGTATTCTTTATTATATGTATATTGAAATGGTGAGATGGCCTCTTGGATGAATTTTCATCGTTTTGACTTCTTTATTTCAATCTATTATTACTTTATTCTTACTTTTTACTTACCCAATTGCCACTATTTTTCTTTTTATTGAAAGAAAAATGATATATTAGATGAATTTGAATAGTACAAAGGTTGTCTTACCTCTTGAGGATTTTATAGAGTTCTGATTATTTTTCTACATCACGCTATTTACTTTACATGTTTATACTCTTACCGTTTCTAACCCAAAATTTTTATTCCGACGCATATTGTAAAAATACGTTTTTAGTTTAGATATGTTCATTTTTTCATGGTCATATAGCGGATCTTCTACTAAACAAAAGTCCATTAACACTTATAATTTGGCTTTGTATGTCACGATTGTAAAAGAAAAAAAAAATGTTAATGACGAGCCATTTTGCACTTTAGCATTATCAATATGAGGGGTTTGGTGAACGTCAATCACAACTTGAACAACGAAAGACAACATGCCAACTGTTCATTCTGAATGAGTAACATCCAATTCTGAGGAAGTTTAGCTACAATTGTGGTCAGGTGCTTCATCTCGGGAAGTTTACGGCTTTCAAATCATCAAATTTACTTATAATTATGTTAATTTTGATTCTAAAATAACTTCACAAAGTTTGGATCACAAGCCGAGGGAAATAATTCATTCCAAAGGCGGAGCTTCCAATTCTAAGAAACTTTTTTCTTGTTGAGACAAAAATGTGAAAGACATCATATAGATTTGCTGTCCTTCAGGAACAAACGATTTGATTTATTTTTCACAACTATAAGATATAGTTGGACTTTTATTTATGTAGGCCCAATGCATCCGGTGCATCGCACGGGGGGATATTCTAGGACATATCCCGGGTGAAATCTGTACACGCAAGACCAAGCTGGCTCGAGCTCATGTTATAAGTTGCTCTTCAATATTTTACGCCTAGTGGGAAAGATGAGCGCAAATATGACAGTGCAACCAATCGATCTAATTTCCCTTTTTTTTTTTCGCGAAAAGTAAATAATTCAAAACTCAACACCATTGTCTGTATCGCTTACAAAAATGAATGGACGCATAATATTTTCATCGCCCACGAAAGTATCTAGATATAAATTGTTGTTGATAATGAAAATGTTTTCGATCGGCTAATTATTTAAAGCGATACGGACGATCATTTTCAAGAAAAATAATTTTCAAATCATATATTTTTCGCGAAACGAATTGGAATAATTTTTTTTTTTTATAGTTGAGGTTAGCGACGAGATTTCTCGGAAGCATCCCACGAAATAGAAGCGTGGCCAACCTTAATTGGGAGTGTTTTGATAATAATTATTTTATTTTTTTGCATGACGTCAGGCAGGCACTGAACAATGAACGTTGACTTCAAGGAAGTCGCAAAGGGGATGGGATGTCTCGGAAGTGTCGACACCATGACTCCATCGCTTGCTGCGAATCGAATGGGCATGGGCCCAACAAGCATTGCGGGCCGGGCCAGGGCCCAATTCAATAGACTCGCTCTCTAGAGCCGAGCCTCAGCCGTTGGATCAAACATTAGATTTTATTTTTCTTTTTTCATGCCAAATGATTTGCTCTATAGTTTGGGGTCCAATGCCACTGACCTAAATAGAAGATTGATGGGCGTGTCTTAATAGCAAATGGGAGTCGGAAATTTGGTCTAAAAGGACCACTTAAAAAAAGCAGCAGAAATCTCTGTCGGTATATTTCAACAGGAGGTGTTGGCAAGTGTCGGAAAACGGTTGGTAAAGATAATGAGCAACGACTTTTCTAAGTGTCGGAAAACGGTTGGTAAAGATAATGAGCAATGACTTTTCTTTCTTCTTTTTTTTTTTGCAGGTAATATGTTGATAATTTAGGCTCCGTTTGTTTCACGGTCTGAAAAATGTTTTCCGGAAAGTTTTTTTTCTCAAGAAAATGATAATATTTTCCGATATTTGGCTGAGACCTAAAAATGAACCGGAAAATATTTTCCATTGTTTGGTAAATCTCATTAATTTTCCTAAATAGACATATACTATTTGAGCGCTAGTGGCTTGTGCATGGGTGGTTAAGGAACCCAGCATGGGCACTATGGTGGCAATCCCGGATCCCCGACTCTCGGGTACGAGCACGGGCACTGATCTTGGATCCATTGAAACCGAGCCCGAGAACTTGGTGCCCGAGCCCGGCTCCCTGGCGCCTTGGCCCCGATCTATAAAGGCCAGGCCCAAGTCCTTGGCGTTTGGGCCTCGATAAGACCTAAGCCTAGGACTACGACCCTGGCTCTCGGGCTTAGGTCAATTGAGGCTGAGCCCCGAACTCGGCACCTGGGACTTAGTCCTTACGCCCGGACCCAGGTCCATCGAGGTTGGACTCGGGACCTTGGCACCCATGCTTGAGTCCATCAAGGTCAGGCCCTGATCCCTAGCGCTCAGGCTTGGGCTTGGCATAGATGGACTTGGGTACAAGCGCAGGGAACCTCGTCATGAGCATGGGCATAGGAGTCTTGGGCTCGATCTCGATGGACTCGAGCATGGGCATTGGGGTCTGTGGGTTGGCCTTGATGGACTTGGGCACGGGCACCAAGGACCCGGGCCTGGCCTTGATATTATCGGGCTTGGCATCCATGGGCACCGGGATCTTGGGCCTGGCCTTGATGGACCCGGCCCCGGTGCCAAGGGCCTGGGAATGAGCATCAGGGTTTCCGTGCCCATGGGCAAAGTTTCTTATCCAAGCGCTGATACTTAATCATATTTTGAAAAATGATTTCTGATTTTTTTAAAGAGGAAATCATTTTTCTGAATTTAAGCTTTTGTAGGAAAATATTTTTTGTCGCTCGCTCATTTTTCTAAGCGATCCAAACGCCCGGAATCATTTTTTTGTCACATATTAGAGCAGTTGGTAGTTTATAAACATAAGTAACTATTTTAGATAAGAGTTGATGAAACAAAATTAGCTAGTAACTTAATCGAAGAAAAGTTGACACATGCTCTAATTGAGAATGATAATTTTTAAAAAGAGTTGGTAAATTTGAAAAGTTCTTGACAAGACAAATAAAAAATTGTTAATGATAAGAAGATTTGGTAAATTGAAAAAACACAAATAAATAATAGTAAGTAACTTAAGTGAAACTTGATAACCCAAAATTAGTCGATCACTTTTCATTCAAATCAGGAAATAATGACACCGCAAGTACTTGGATTTATGCCCCTTTTAAAATTAAGTACCTAAACCTTTTCTTTATTTAATCAAATACCTCACTTTTTCAAATTTGATTGAGGCCTTTGTTAATTAAATTGCCATGTCTTGCATAACGCGGCTCGCTTACTCGGCAAATGTTAAGCACAATGGGTGATGTGGCTCACTTATTCAGAAAATTGGTGCCGTCTCTATTTAGGTGTTGGGTGATGAGAAGAGAGAGTTATGAGTTAAACGATGTTAGCCGTCTAATATAACTTTGGTAGTGGGGCATCACGTCAAGAGGTCACATGGGATGCCAATGAGGATAATCAATGCTACTTGACGGCGTTAGTGTTGACCTTGGCATTTTCTGTCCGCAATTTTAACGAGATCTCATGTTGATTCACATTTGAAAAGCGGATGTATTTGAATGAAAAATAAGGGCAGTTTAGGACAGTTCATTAGAACAAGTAAATGCGAGCTCTTATGCTACAGAGAGCGGATTACCAGAACAAGTAAGAGCGAGGAAGTCTTCTTGGCAAAGCATAAATCACTCCGTCACAACCGCGAGAGGTAATAATGAAACGCTAAAAGCTGAAACTTGGACCAAAACCATATAATGACTTTGGACCAGCTCACATGTGGCTAACATACGACCACAAAATAAAGAAGGATAAAACAAAACAACTACAATATCAATAGAAAACTTCATCAAAAGGGAACACAAATATGGAGAACTTTATTTGAAAATCTCAATACTTGTCTGAACTTCGAACTTCAGTCGTGCATATTGCCTCCGCTTGTATGTCAACAACGCTTGGCGCTTCAATAAATCCACTACCAGCATTCATACAACTTAATATCGACGCGAAGCCGGAAGTAAACATCTCCCTCGAACGAGTCCGTCATCAGAGTGGCCACGCCACGGGCCATGAAGAAGTCGCCGGTGCCGCCAATTACCGAAATGTCCCTAGTCTTGTTCATCAAAGGGTCAGCCCCAGCAAAATTCAAGCTACCCTTGTGGTGAGTGGAAGAAAACACAAAGGAAAAGCCAAGCCAAGCTGTGAAAATATCCTTCTTGTCATAGATATAGAACCCTTGGGCACGCCCGACAGGCTTTGAGTGCAAATTGTTGTCCAAAGTGACGGGGTCGTCGAACACGACCAGATCGCCGAAATGGCTCTGCCCGGCCAAAATTGTCTTGTTGGCCCAAGCTGGCGCGCCGATTATGGCTGAGGTCGCGTTCTTTGCGTTGTTCCCGTTGTAGAGAATGTCGTGGAAGAAGAACACGAGCTGCTTGCACGGGCGGCGATTGCGGATCCGCTTGTTCGCCGCGTCGACGTTGGAGCGAAAAATTAGGAACAAGAAGAGTAACGAAACGATTACTCTTGCACCCATTTTCGAGCACAATCAATTGATACAAAGAGTTTTGCCAAAGACTTAGGCCCCTGAGCATATATGAGGATCTAATGCTCATTATATAGGGGACCTAAGTGGACAAGGTCTTGAAGAGCTTGGCTTATACGTCATTCTTCTTGCTGGACTGGAAATTTAGTGCTGCTTTTTCATTCTATGGACATCAGTCTCCGATTGAGTCGCTTCATTTCCACGGCTGTTGTTATGATTGGACGCACTAGAGCTTCGAGGAGGTCCAGCTGCATAATAATTGAGAGAGAATGAGAAAAAAGGCGTGGATGTCCACGCTGTATTAGCTCGTACCTCTCTACCAAATACAGGATATGATAAAACATATTCTATCCCGATTTTTATTCGGACGACCAAACACAGCTTAACTGAACAAATAAGGAAAGGATAGGCTATAGTAGCATGTGTTTCTTTGAAGTGGAAATTAGCGTTTTTGTTGACAGGTCTCGTTCATTTTGTCTTGGTCTTGAGCTTTTGCTTAGGGATGAATGAATAAATTATATGAAACTATAGTTTAATCCCGGAATTCTCTTTCATGTTAATTTGGGATTACTTGTAATTTTGTCCTTCCGTACGATACTTTCCCCTTCAGCCTAATCTCTAACCGAATGATGGGATAGCCCAACGATTAGTACCCATGATGGAGAAAACACAACCAAGTTAAAAGCGACTCCGCAATTATTGGATCTGAATTATAGGGCTGCGCTTTCGATGATTTGAAATAAGCGGTCCGATTTGTAGTGTAACTATTGGAGAATTACCTGCCATCACGTCGACACACGTCGACAAAAGTTGGTGGTTTCATCATGATCAACGTGGGATTTCAATAATTACTCGGATAACATTTTTTAGATGCATGGATCTCAGGACCTTTTAGTAAAGATTTAATCGCGGGATTACGCTGCGTGTGATCTGTTGGCGGAAAAAGTGCAATGAAAAAAGACGTGTATGCAATTGAAAATGAAAAGCAAGATTCGATCACCCGCTAATGGAACCGTCATTGTCTCACCTCTCTGTCGCGGGATCTGGGTTTCTGGTCGCTGTTCCATCGCGGGTCGTCCTTTGGTTCGTCTCGCCATTTCTCTGTAATTCAACTCGGTTCTTGGTTTCTTCTTTTCGGTCGCACGCATCTCCTGTTTGATGAAATGCCCCAAAGTAGTTAAGGATGTGATCCTCTGCTATAATTTCCAGGACCTCGTTGAACCACTATGCGTTTTCTTCGTGGTAATCATGGGTCCTTTTTTTGGGGTTCTGGGCGGATGGCGGTACTGACATTAGAACTGAAGAACGTTCCGTATGCGCTTGGTTGCTGAATTTCAAGCATGCATCGCGGTTTCTTTTTTCGCTGAATTTTACTGATTCAAACAGGAGAATTCTGGGATTCGTGATTGAGGTTTGTGTCACCTTTGCCACATATTCATGCACTTGTTCAAGAATTCAGCACACACACCCACTTGGAGCCAATGGTTTTCTGGTGAGACGGTGGATTCGGGTTGCTGTCGTGGGTATGTTTATAATCGGTATATAAAGCTACTAAGCGGTGCGCATTAATACCATTCTCGCGCCGCGCTATTTCCGAACAGTAAACGATTTTTTTTTGATTCTGGCCTAAACAATTTCCGAGTATTTAAAGCGTTTGATAAATGTCCAAAATTTCTATTCCTAGAGTAATGCGACAAATTCTTCAAATAATATTTTAAATATTTTGAATTGTTTAATTTTTTTCTACTTTCTTCTTGGCATGGCGCGCGTCGGCGCGCGCGGCAGGCATCACGACTCGCCGCGCGGCGAGGTCGCCGGCGAGGCGAGGCGGACTGCCGGCGAGCGCTCGCCGACGGCGGGCTCGTCGCCATCGCGAGGCCGCCGCCGCGCGGGTCCCCTGCCGGCGCCTGACAAATTTTGCAAAATGTGCCGAGAACAAAAGTTTACAACGGTTCCAATTTCGACACATGTGCTATCGTGGTCCGTTTCTCGAGTAAGGATTTTTTTAACGGGGACGCTTGATTCTCAATACTCTATTAATTTTCTCGCGATACTTATAATTAATTTCCCCGTAACTAAAAATTGTTCCTTTACTAAGCATGGGTTAATTAACATTTTGAGGATTTTCTCGACAAGAACTTTTATGGAGTCCAAGGTGAAGTCCCGCGTTGTTTGAATGTGACTTAGGAGAGAGGCGCTATCCTTATCCTTGATAATCTTTCTATCCAGCACTATGTGACCATGTTCTTTGGTGCTTACTAGTTGCCCTGTCTATTATTTCGTGGTGAGTGTATAATTGTATATTGCCTTTTCCAATTGATTTAGACTTACGCTCCGTTTGTAATTTTACGGAAAATTAATGATTTGGAAATCATTTTCGAAAAAATTATTGTTTATGTCGTTTGAAATAATTAAGATTTTGTGAAACCGCTACCAACTGTTATGAAAGTCTAAGCTGTTAAATGAAAGTATAGTTTAATATTTAAATATTCTATTACTCTCCCTCATGCTTAGTCTGGTATTCTTTTTGCGTAGTACTAAGCGTGGACATATTTAATTGGGGAGGTAAATGCGGCCTGGAAAGATTTGAACTCAGGACTTCCTACTCTAATACCATGTAAGATTTTGTGAGACTACTACCAACTGTTCTAAAAGCTTAAACTATTGGATGAATGCTTGGTTTAATATTTCAATATTCTATCACGACTAACCCTAAATGTTAACGTAGGTTTGGTTCCTTGTTCAGTTCTTACCCAAGAACCGGTAACCGAACCGTACAATACCGATTTCACTTTTTTCGGAACCAGGAATCAGACCGGTAACTGTAGGAACCTTCTATGGCCGGTCCGGTCCGGTTCTCATGCTCACCCCTAGTTGCTAGGGAAAGCTGAAGAAAGAGAAGGGAACGTGAGAAAGAAAAACAGAAGACATTTCTTTGATCTTATCTGATGAATAATGCTTGATAGAGATGTTTGGCTATTGCTATTAATTCTTGGGTCCTATATATAAGGGATTTTTGCTTGGTACATTTGTGCATTCCATAGATTGGGAATCTTTCAATTATCCGAGAAAAGCATAAAGTAAGGTGGAACTGCGAAGTCCAACCTATAGATGACAACGTTCAATTACGGTTTTGATTCCTCTGTATAAAACTATAGCTGGGGCATAATGACAAATTTATGGTCTGTTCTACCTACTACTTGCACAGCTAATCATAACTACTAATGCAAAATGTTGCAGAGTATTTGATCAACGCAGCCAGTGTTCTCCCTTCAAACCTTTTAGAGATAAACGGGGAATTTCATGAAAAGAAATTGTGAGCTACCGATCTGGACACCTCTAATTCCATATATTGGAATTAGAGCCCTTAAATCTAAAAGGCTAGATGAAGATGGAGAAAACATTTTGCATATTAACATGCATGGCGGATTATCTCTGTCACATTAAATCGCTAAACGTTGTGCCAACAAAAAGTGCTGCAGACAAACTGGTTGCTCTATGCATGCAAGTCGCCATTGCGCTTTGTAGGACAAACATCATAAATTATCGTAACAAACACCACAATACCCGGTGAAGGTGTGGTCACCATTTCGTAAATTCGCTAAATTAAACTTGCTATTACAGCAACGAGAAGATTGATCATCTTTACTATACGTACATAAAGAAAATCCACACGAGGATTTGAGCCTCGGATTTTGAACAAAAAAAAAATCTATTAAGACCGGACCAGGTTGTTAAGGTGAATTATTTTCTTTCTTTAGTAAATAATGGATAAAATCGTAATACAAAGAAGTGAAGGTAGTTATATGGTGATCCCTTCTTTACCATCAACACGTGTGATTCTAGCTGGTAAAGAGTAGAAGACTGTTGCTAAAAGGGGCAGAAGCACACATCACTCCAGTCTCTATGCATAGCACCTGGGAATATGGTGGATTCAATCAAAAGGATGCGTGGAGTTTGGTGAGGAATCGAGGTGCTAAAGCTAATTGGCACAGGTTGGTTTGGTTGGAGACAAGAAAATTGGCAAAAGTACACTAGAAGTGCCATAACTTGTGTACGGCGATCACTTTGGTGCCATAACTTTTTTTCGGATCACTTTGGTGCCAACTTTTTTGAAAATCGATCACTTTAGTGCCAATGCTGACGTGGCTCGCCGGAAATCCGATGTGGCGCTGACACGGCTCGCCGGAGAGGTCCAGTCAGCATTAAAAACAAAAAACGACGCCGTTTAGCCCGCTGACGTGTACTTTTTTTTTAAAAAAAATAAATAAATTATATTTAAAAAAAAAAAAAAACCGCTAGCCGGCGAGGGGAGCCCGCTCGCTGCTTGCCGCTAACCCACCACCGCCGGGAAGGGCCGGCGGTGGTGGGCGCAGTGGTTGGCGAGGGTCGCCGGCCCCTAGCGGGGCTCGGCGACCCTCGCCGAGCCCACGAGGGCCGGATCCGGCAGAGGCGAGACCTCGCCGTCGCCCGGGTCGCGACGGCGAGGCGAGACCTCGCCGTCGCCTTGGTCGCGACGACGAGGCGCGGTCTCACCTTAGCTGGGTGAGGCGAGACCTCGCCGTCGCCCGGGTCGTGACGGCGAGGTCTCGCCTCGCCGGGATCCGGCCCTTCTTTGCCGGGCTCGGCGAGGGTCGCGGCCCGGCCAGGGGCCGGCGACCCTCGCCGACCACCGCGCCCACCACCGCCGGCCCTTCCCGGGGGTGGTGGCTTGGCGGCAACAGCGGCGAGGGCTCCCTCGCCGCTGCTGCAACTTTTTAATTTTTTAAAAAAAAAAAAATTAAAAAATTCGAAAAAAGCCACGTAATTTTCACCGTGTACAAGTCAAACCATTTTTTTTAAAATATAAATGCCAGGTCAACTTTTTGGCCGGAATTTTGGCCGGAGTCACTAAAGTGATCGATTTTCCTCCGACTTGGCACCAAAAGTGATCCGAAAAAAAGTTATGGCACCAAAGTGATCGCCGTACACAAGTTATGGCACTTCTAGTGTACTTTTGCCCAAGAAAATTCCTAAATTTGGCTTCATTAACTGGCTCATCATCATTTGATAGGATGAAGAA